GGGGAATTCTGGGAGTTGAAGTCCACTCATCTTAAAGTGGCCAAGTTTGGACAACACTTTTCTAATCCAACAGGCTTCAGTACCTTTCCCTTCATATGCTGGGTGGACTTGTAAACACTGGCAAAACAGCCCTACTTCTCAATCAACTTTTGAGTTGCAAAGCTGTTTCAAAGTAGAGACGTCAATCTAGCATTTAAGGCACCAGCCAGTTGGTACAAGAGAGCTGGTTCTACTTTTGCCTTGCAGAATTAATTTACAGGCTTGACCCTGGAGCAAAAAACTTCTTGGAGACAATGTACTGGCTCTGCTTCTAGGGCTACTCATGTTTATGAGTGACGGCTGAATAAAATTTATCCAAAACATTTCAAGTATAACTGCTTCCACACTGGTAAGAATGTGCTTTTAATGCAAAGCAAAAAAACATGGATTTTTCAGTATTTGCTTTCTGTAATGTCATGTTGCTATTGCTGCTGCTGCTGCACAAGTATGGAATGTCAACACATACAAGATAAAAAACAAATGAAAAATTCCACCAGAAGACATGCAAGGGACTAGCCCAGTGTTTCTCAACCTTGGCAACTTTAAGATATATGGACTTCAACTTCAGCCTGCTGGCTGGGGAATTCTGAGAGTTGAAGTCCACATATCTTAAAGTTTCCAGGGTTGAGAAACACTGGACTAGCCAAATGATTCTGATGTGGTAGTATGAGGAGGGTGGGAGAATTACATGATTAATGATGAATGATATAGTAGCATTCCTGTCGTCTTCCCAGAAACATTGGACTCATTGCTGTGGAAACAGGAGGCAGGACAGAATTTACCCATGGACCAGCTTATGTCCATTTGTTGGGGAATCATGATCTGGCCATGGTTATCTGCATTGTGAAACATGACTGTTGCCTGCTTGCATATTTCTGTACTACAGATACATGTGAAAAAGGGCTGACTTTAAAGTGTTCCAGAACCTTTTAAATTCCCTTTCTTTGTTCGTGATTACTTCTTTGCAGCAGATTCGTAGACAGTTCCAAAATCTTATGTATGAGCCAGTAAAAAACGGAGATGCCTTCAAGCACGTACATGATGGAGTGTGCCTAACAACAGCTTGATCCAAATGTGGTGACTGATGTAGTTGCATCAGACATTGGGATGCAAATATGTATAGGCAACATTGGTGTGATGATATCATTCCTTTGGTGTCACTGAAATATGTTGTGGATGTCACTGCTTGGACCCAATTCCTCCGGTCCTACAGTTTTAGTGTCTACAGTATAAAACTGATTTGTCATTGCCTTCTTCTGGGGTGTCCATCAACTCCCCAGTCTGGCTTACAGTCCTTGTGTTCTCTGGTCTCCGATCTAAGTACTAACCAGGCTCTGTCCATCTTAGCTTCTGAGCAGAGGAAAAGTGGCTAGGTCACACTACCTCAAAAAATAAAGGGTGGGGATTATACAAATCCTTAGATTTTCATTGTGCCAGGCTGCTCTTCAGCTCCACCTTATATCAGTGACCAGGAGCTATGATGTTATCTCCACAAGTAAATAATTCTTCCGTTTTCAGCCCATATTTAAGAAGTGGCACAATCATATCCCATAAATTAAAGGATTCAGCCAATTTTAAATTTCAGCAACTTACACCATGCTTCCACTAGAGGGGGATACTCTTGTTTCTTATTTTCCTAAGCCTCTTGAAGCTGGAACTGATGCTTACTCGGTGTTGTGGTTAGAACAGATATGCCCCTATGCAGAGATATATGAAGCAATCAGCAGGAAGCCAGACACTTTAATCTGGATCCTATAGGGATTTCAGACCTCCTCCTTGGTATATTTAGTGGTTACACTCTAGTAGGCTGTTTGGTCAAGATTGGCTGGTCTTTCCCGTAAATTGCAGAGTTACAGAATAAGAAATACATAATCCCACAATGTTGGCAATTATCGGCAAGTTCCTTGCTGAGAGCAATTGTCTTTCTCTACAGCAGAGAAAGCTTTTATGTGCCCAGCATAAACATCTTTGCATTGATTGGAAGCGGTAGAATGACCGTCTTGTATTGTTTAAAATAAAAATCAATGGCGTATGGCGCAGGAGGGCCCTAAATGCAACATTAAATTGACTCGACAAGATGTTACTAGCTGGGGGGGGGGAGAGGGGAGTGCTGTTCACCCAAGAGCTAAAGGAAATAGACGCTGTTCTCAAGTTCTGAAATCAGGCCATCGATATTTTGCATTTTCCACAGCTGAGAGAAGTGGGGAGTCTAAGGGGCATCTTTATTGGGTTAGTTTCTTGAAAGAAAATACTCTGGATTTAAGTTGTTTTGTTAATAGGGGAAAGTGCACAGGTTGAGTCTGTAGCAGGGAAATAGGCAATGATAATAATCCTTGAGGAGTGTCAATCATGCAATGAGCAAGTAGGTATTTCAAATGTTTAATCTACCCATGTTATGGGAAGTAGCCATTATGTTCCTTTTTGTTCTCAAGTCGTACTTGAGTCCAACCTGATCTGAATAAACCAACCTCTTTTGTCATTGTCTTCTCATAAATAAACTCCGGAAACAAGAGAACTTATTCCCAAACCTTTTCCATTTTCAAATTGTAGTTCCAGCTCTCTTAGTATGTACCTTCCTAGGCAAGGAACAAATCTTGGGTCTCACCTGGCCACATTGATGTCTTGGATTTGCTGATACTTGAATGAGTCTTGAGTGACTGTTGATCATTGCATGTGCTTTACTTGTCATGCATGTGCTTTATTGCATACTTGAATACTTCTTTGTGCTTCGGCATAATCACTGTTCATTAGTTTTATTTACTCATTTATTCTGCCAAGTTACAGGAAGGCACATTCAGATGGAATGCTAGAGAAAACTAAGGAACAGGAAGAGTAGCTTGATATTGGACCCAATTACTCAGAGAGAGAAAGGTAATGGGGTCCCCTTCATTGGAGTGTTCAAACTTGTTTGACATGTTTTAATTTGGATTCTTGCACTCAGGGGTCTAAATGGCCCCTTCCAACATATGCTTGTACAATTTTGTACAATGCTGCCTGGGGAATTCTGGGAGTTGAAGTCCACCCATCTTAAACTTGCCAAGGTTGAGAAAGACTGCCCTAACACGTTGAAAGAGTCTTTGCTGATGCTGACACCACCATATAGATATATTTTACTTTTCTATTTTCTGGTGAATATCTTTGCTGTGTTTGGAAGAGCAATTCTGAAAGATCTATTTCTCTTTCTCTGACACACTTTTTTGTCTCTTGCTAGACTTTGCAACCTTCAGGTCTGCAATATAGTTCCTTTTCTTCTTGGGGACATGTCATTGTCTCTGAAGATTGGAATGATCCAGTAGAAACATCCATAAACAGATACCGCAATCCCAAATAAATACTTATTAGGAAGTAATTCCCATTGAAAGCTAATTGAGATAGCAGTTATGCCGATACATTCTACTCACCACCTGGAACAAAATCCCATGCAAGCTAGCTAGTGTGTCTTACGAACTCTGAAGACCATACAGAGAAAGAGAAGGCTGAAGAAGGCTGTAGAACCATTGGCTTCCTTTACATATAATTCTCTTACTTGATCTTAGCAGCAGATTGTCCCTGCTTCTCATCCTTGAGACCTCAAGGAAAAATGAACAGATGCAGGAGGATTAAATAGAACAACAGCAACAAAATCCTTGTACACCTACCTTGAGTAGCTTTTGATATTTTCACAGGACAAGTGTAATATGTAGTCAGGCTCTGCCTCCTCTTTAAACAAGCTGAAGATTTCTGCAAGCCTTTGTCTATTAAGGAAAGAGTAATGAAACTCTCACCAA